TCTCTGTCAATAATACGGGTGTCATTTAACCTTTTCAAGTTAAATGCTGTATTGCAAATATTTTAAAATTTTCTTTATATATATTATGATGTTTTTGACATCTTAAAAAGCCTTTCTGGCTGCAGAGAACCTGCCTCTCCTGGGGCTTGTTAATTATGAAAGATAACAAAGCGCCCCAGCCTGCGGCATGCCTTTCACACACAGATTAACCAGTCCAGTGCCATACCTCCTCCATCTGATCTGTACACCCCAGAAGGGATATTCCTCTGTCTTAATAATCCAGGACCAGGAGCCAGGCAACCCACACAAATTATTCTGAGTAGCCTTGTAAACTGTTCACCTGCCTTGCCTTGCCTTGCCTTTCCCAAGAAACTCCCCCAAAAGGCGGTGGCCTAAACCTTCCTTCTTCCTGTCTTCTGCCACCTGACCACCCTAGTGTCTTTCCTGTGTGGCCCTGAGGGGCCTGCTGTGCCTCCTGTCTCTAGGATCGGTGAGTGTAATACACTTTTTTTCTTTCTGAGCCTCTCCTCTGTCTCCTCTTGTGACCACATCTGATTGACCATACCAAAAAAGAATACAAAAGAGTCTCTGTGTAAAGTCATGCTTTCTATAGAATCACAGTGATTCTCACCAGTCTTGAGCTTGGGTCTCATTTCCAACTCTTTCTATAAATGGACAGTTTTCTCCCCACCAACTTATTCTCAAAAAGATACATGGCAAACTGATGACAGTATGTCTCTGGGGTGAGGGAAGAAAGGGCTAGAACTGATTTTCAAAGGGAATTTTAGCTTTACCCGTCACCAATCTAATTTTTGTAAGAAAGATGAGACAAATATTCATAACCATATTAAAATTTACATTTAATTCAAAACCCTAGGTATTGCCTCTGCTCTAGGTTATCTATTTCCTGGGCCTTAGTATTATGATGATTTCTATTTTTCCCAAGTGTTTTCCAATGTTTCCTATGTCACTACACACAAGTGTATCCTTAAAATCCTACCCTCCTCTTCTGCTCCTATGATGAGATAACATTTTAGTTTATTTCCTTTGGGTCAAGAATATGTATGAAGACACAAATATTTACTTATATACAATTGGAACCTTGCTCCAGTAAAGAAATATGTTGAACTTACTTGTTTTTAACTTCCAAGACTGCCCCAGCCTGTACAATACTAATTCCATTTCAATATTTTGCACTTTAGAGCCAACAAAGCACTTTTATCTTCCATCTCAATCCCCGAAATAATTCACTAAGGTAAGTAGAATCTACCTCCCAGCCTCTATGCCAGGCTTCCTTGCTGCTTTCACTTCCTTTTCTTATAATATGGTAAACTACTTTTTCCTGATAAGCCACTAACTATAGTAGAATTATCTTGGTCACTTTCAACCTCTTATTTCCCTCTTTCCTCATTATTTACCATCTAAGCTGAAATAGATATTTGCAAGAGAAAATAATAATAGAAAATAAGCCTCCATTATAAGACGGCATTATTTGTATTAAGGGCCTGTTTATTGAAAGGACAATAGATTAAAATAGTATTTTTATAATTTTTTAATATTTTAAAAAAGTAAATAGCTGGATTTAGGAGTAGATGAAATATGTCATCTGCTGAAAAGCTAAGGAATGACATCAGCATGTGTGTAGATTTCTGACATTAGAGTGTATGTAGAAAAGAGCATTTACAATATCTAATTCATCTGTTTTCTTTCTATCCCTTTCCCCCTTAAATTCATCTGTCATAATAAGTCATAATGTTATCATCAAGATATTTACAAAATAGATACTTGATTAAAAAATATTGCCTTGATTAAAAACCTTTGCTGGATCACCATTATTTATCAAGTCAAGTCTGAATCCCTTAGCCTAATGGTATACATTCTTAAAACATATGGTCCATCTGACCTTTCCAAGTCCATTTGTGCCCTCTGTACCAAAAACTCTGTGTTCTAGTCATATAAAGTTGACAAAGTGACAAATAGCACCTAAACTCATCAGATGCTGCTAATCCTCCATGACTTTTCTCTCTCTGTAACAGCTGACAAAGAATGCCCTGTGGCCACTTGTTTAATTGTTGAACTCTTACTCATCCTTCAGTGTCCACCTCAAATGCTCCTTCTTTCTAAGACCACTCCAGCCAAAATTAATGCTAACTCATTAAAAGCAATATTATAAAATGCTTATATGGACATGAAGACATACAGAAGGGCACAGAAGAATGCACGTGTTAATAATGAGTGTAGTTATTTGGAGTTTTACTTCTTCTAATGACCAACTAATAATTTTTCTTTTCCCTGAGACCAGGTTTCCTTTTATTGCCCAGGCTGGAGTGCAGTGGTAAAATCATAGCTCTCTGCAGCCTCTAACTCCTGGGCTCAAGCAATCCTCCTGCCTCAGCCTCCTGAGTAACTAGGACAACAGGTACATGCCATCATGCCCAGCTATTTTTTTTTCCACTATTTTGGCCAGGCTGGTCTTGAACTTTGATCCTCAAACAATCCTCTCATTTCAGCCTCCCAAAGTGCTAAGATTCTAGGCATAACCCACTGCACTTGGCCAGATAATACTTTTGAATTTTAAAAAATTAAAATGAAATGAACATGGTGGCTCATTCCTGTAATCCCAGCATTTTGGGAGGCTGAGGCTGGAAGATAACTTGAGGCCTGGAGTTCATGACCAGCCTGGCCAACACAGTGAAACTCCATCTCTACTAAGAATACAAAAAAAAAAAAAAAAAAGAAAGAAAAAAAAGCAGGGTGTGGTGGAATCCCAGCTACTTAGGAGGCTGAGGCATGAGAATCAGTTGAACCCAGGAGGCGAAGGTTGCAATAAGCCAAGATCTGTCTCAAAAACAAAAAAATTAAAATGAAGACTTAAAAATAAAAGCAATAATGGGTAAACATTTCTATGAATACAACTATATTGATTCATCCATATTAATTTTTTACAGGAAAATTCCATGATTTTTAGGCCATTGGATACCTGGATTCTTATTTCTGAGCCACTAGATGTGGAATATTGGGGAAGTCTAAGTCTCTGAACCTTAGTAAGATGAAAATGTTAATAAATGAACACTAAAATTCTATGGATTTAATCACATATATGCTTCAATGAATATATTACCATACTTCGCCAATCTCATTTTTATGATTTCAAAAGTAGTACTTCTTTGTCTATTTCTGGGGCAGAGGTGACCTCAGATATAAAGGCCATAGAAAATAAGACAGATAATTCAAAATATCACCCTTTTCCTATGTTTCCATGGTGGCTTTCAATACACACAACCACAAAACACAATATTTCTTAAGATGCTATAATTTTTTGTTTGTATTTCTGGGTTCCTTCCTTCTTTCCTTCTCCCCTTCCTTTCCCTACCTCCCTCCTTCCCTTCCTCCCTGTCTCTCTCTCTCTCTCTCTCTTTCTGATGGAGTTTCACACCAGGCTGGAGTGTAATGGCGTGATCTTGTTTCGCTGCAACCTCTGCCTCCTGGGTGCAAGCTAGTCTCCTGCCTCAGCCTCTTGAGTAGCTGGGATTACAGGTACCTGCCACCTTGCCCGGCTAATTTTTGTATTTTTAGTAGAGACAGGTTTTCACCATGTTGGTCAGGCTGGTCCCAAACTCCTGACCCCAGGTGATTCACCTGCCTCGGCCTCCCAAAGTGCTGGGATTACAGGCATGAATGAGTGCACCTGGCCACATGTCTGTTTTCCTGTGGTTTGTGAGCCCCTGGGATGGGTATAAGGGCAGGATATGCATCTTCCTGGTGCCATGCCCTGGCCTCACTATATAGTAGGCGATTAATCATTCACTGAGATCATCAACTGAAATAAAGGCATTTGTGCAAAAATGTCCTTTTTTTTCTCTTTGTTTTTGTTTTGTTTTCCTCACTCTGTCACCCAGGCTGGAATGTAGCAGTGCACTCTCGGCTCACTGCAACCTCTGCCTCCCAGGTTCTAGCGATTCTCCTGCCTCAGCTTCCTGAGGAGCTAGGGTTACAGATGTGTGCCACCATGCCCAGCTAATTTTTGTATTTTTTTTGTTTTTAGTAGAGACAGGGTTTCACCATGTTGGCTAGGCTGGTCTTGAACTCCTGACTTCAAGTGATCTACTCATCTCAGCCTCCCAAAGTGCTGGGATTATAGGTGTGTGCCACCATGCCTGGCCTGTGTAAAAATATTCTGATCTAAGAGAAAAGGATGACTAATCTTGTGATTGATAACTTTGAACTCTCATCTTTTTTCTTTATAATTTAGATTAGAATTTTCATTGATCTGTGACATATTCATTAATCACAACAATTTTAGGAAATCTTGTTAATTTTTATAAACTTTATTGGCTTTCAGGTTGTTGCCAAATTAATTAGACCATCAAGAAAAAAAGAGCAGGTGTTATGGTAGTATAGGTCAAAAGGTTTTGTTCTTTCTGATTGTGATGTCTTCAGCCCATTCTGGGAGATGAGGTGGGAAGATGTGAGGAGCTCAACATAGTCATGGTCCAACTGCGGACTGGAGAACCCTTGTAGAAAAATCTCACCTGAAGTCCTTGTCTTAGTGAGACTCGGCCAGGCCATGAATGAGAACTAGGGACCACCCCATTCTCACTGTTATCTTATATGCCCTCTGAATTAAACACACACTCTCCACCCAAGGAAAAGCAAAGAAAAGCGACAAAGGGCTCGTGGATTTAATTCCAACTATAAACTACGGTGTTTCCTTGTCCTCTTCCCTGTTGAGTCTTTCTACTGTCCAGTGGGTCTAAGAGTAGCCACTGGCTCAAAGGCATTCTAACAGCAGTGCCCTAAAACCAACCCTTGAACCTCTCATAGAAAACAAGAAGTCTAGTGATCATAGTATAATTTATATATGCCTTCTTCATAGAGACTCAAAACAAATTTTAAGCATTTATAAATAGAGATATTAAGAAATTTTAAAAATGAGATTGCTAAACAAAAATAGTTTTCAAATAACAATGAAAGTAGAATATAATTATGAAAGAACATACCGCAGTACCCTGGGGTTCCACATACTGTCTTCATGAGCACTTGATGTTCCACAATTTTAGAGAGTCCAAAATCAGCTAACAACACAAGATAAACATTTAATGAAGCACGTCTTTTCTCCGTGTATATTAGATGACAGAATATTTCTGTTATTCAACAATAGAACTAACTTATTTATCTATTTGTTTGCTTTTGTATTTCATGGTGGGGTGAAGGTGGGTGGGAACAAGTCACCCAAGAAGAAGCTAAATAAATTAATTCAAGTGTTTCTTTAAATGGGAGAAAAATATGACTTCCAAATACATTTACAAATAAATCTGTATTTAATCTTTGTTCTTCTGTACATTCCCAGGTTTCAGCAAATAAGTTATTTTTTCTTAAAATAATAGCTGTAATAGTAATATTTTGTCTAATGTTATTAATTCTGAAATTTATGTAACAGTAACTCTGAGGGGCAATACAGAATTAGTGATATAATACAGAATCTTTATCAACAGAGAGGAGAAAAAATAGACTTTCATCAGTGTCACGAGAATTACAGAAATATCAAAAGGGTTATTCGGCTTGAAAATAAATGTCAGTCCCTAATGTATTTCACTTATAAGAATTTACTCTCACATGAAGACTATATGACTCTTTTGGTAAAAATCCTTTTTATTTATTTCTCAGGTTATTACCTAGGTAAAATATTATCAAAAGTTGTTACCATTACAATCTATTTGCTGAGCTACATCTCTGGCACTCGGGAAACATCAGGAAACCATTCAAGGCCATTCTTCAAGAGAGGCAGGTGCAGAATGAATTCCATTTTAGACTTCAAAGATAAACCCGCATTTCCTGGCAGGTGCCTGATCCTTATCAGTGAAAGCAGCAGGAAGCCCTTCAGAAAGAAAACCTCTCCTGCCTAAATTAGTATCTATCCATCCATTAAAAGAAATTGCTTTAAGGATTAAATCTTTGAAAGTGATGTTAAAGGAAATGGAAACTGCCTGCTGTCCACTGCCTTACAGGAGTGATTATGAGAACAAGCTGGCTGCCCAACAGGACTTTCAGGATTTTTTCCTTAAGTTCTTGCATTCAAAAGCACATTATGTTGTCTGAGCTCTTCCCTGATATGAACAACTTAATTGTTAATGGTGTTAACATCTGTAAATTCAGGAAACTTGGCAGATTAGCATGATAAGGAGAGCACCAGAAGAGCAATATCCTTCAGAGGATTCATGCAGATTGCACCAGCAAGAATTCATCGAAAATAAAGTTGAAAATATTCTTTGACATGAAGATTTGCTTTGGAAGAGACGTGGAAAGTAACAATTATTTTTTTTTTCTAAAGTGCTAAAATTTCTTTGGGTAGATCAGAATTTTGCAAAGTTCATCTTTGTAGTTTTTAAAAATGCATATTCGTTAAAAAAAAACTTACAGAATATGATATGTCAGTTTACATGTTAACAGTTTTAAGGTTCTGGATAGTCCTATAGAAATAAAAATCTTGTTTAACTTTTTAAAAGTTGGCATTTCCTAACTTATTTGCTCCGTCATAGCATTTCTGTGAATTGCTCCCTCCCTTTTTCACCCTGCTGAGAAACCAGTGTTCTGTGGAGTGCATTTTGGGAAAGTCAGATCTTAATTTATCTTTGTTCATATAAACAAGTGATTCAAAACCTAGCCTCACTAATATGCACTAAACATTTTACATTAAAGTTCTTTGTTACCTAAAATTAAGCTCCAAGCAATCTGTGGAATAAAAGTTAGTATCTCCAAAAAAGGTTATGTTTTCTGTCATTTTGTTCACTATAAACTTATTTACAAAATGCTAGGTCATCTCCTGAGGTCCTTGTCATTTCTAAGCTGATTCTGTTCTGTGCCCAGCAACAGAACACTAACTTCTAGACAATAATTTTCAGATAAACATTCTAGGAAAGAGCACAAAATTCCCAAACAACACATTATTCCTTTACAGGTATCAAATATTCAGGAAAACTGAATGGTGTAAAACTACATGGAGCAATATTTAAAAATTCCACACAGTAACATTTTTCTGCTCTGGGAAAAGGGGGTCACAAAAGACGAAGAAATGTTCTCACCAATTTTGAGTGGAGCATCTGGGGCTGGAGTTGCATAGAGAAGATTCTCTGGTTTGAGATCACGATGGACAATTCCATTTTCATGTAGATACTAAAGAGGGAAAATAATGAAATAGTATTTGTATAATTCTATTTATGGTTTGAATGTCTATACCTAATATTTTAAGAACTATAAGTTATGTGATTCAAGAACACACATATTATGACTTTAAAATAAATACCATAGTCAGGCATGGTGGCTCACACCTGTAATCCCAGCACTTTGGGAGGCCAAGGTGGATGGATCACGAGGTCAGGAGTTCGAGACCAGCCTGAACAACATGGTGAAACACCGTCTCTACTAAAAATACAAAAATTAGCTGGATGTGGTGGTGTGTGCCTGAAATCCGAGTTACTCGGGAGGCTGAGGCAGAAGAATCACTTGAATCAGGGAGGCGGAGGTTGCAGTAAGCTGAGATTGCACCACTGTGAGACTCCATCTCAAATAAATAAATAAATAAATAAATAAATGCCATAATGGAAGATCTATTTTAAACTGTATACATTAAATAATACCTTATAAATAGTTACCTAAATGTGATGCAATTTAAATTGTATAGAATCTTTTCCCAGAATGACATATTTATTCCTCAGCTAATATTAATTACAGTTCTCTTTATGCATATTAGTGTGTCAACTGGAATTGGCTAATTATTGTAGCAAAGTCAAGGTGCTGTGCATTGAAATTTATCTGGCTTATTACCTATAAAGCATGATTGGATGTATGATCTTATAAACTTATATAGCAAAGGTTTCATAAATGTTGCCTGAACAGACATTTAGATGTGAGTAGTTCTTATAGACAACTATCCTTAATAAGACAAATACTGTTTGATAATGAAGGATGTACTCATAGGCTCTTCTGAGAATTAGTAAATCTAACTCTCAATACAGATGTTGAAAGCTGTATTTGAGGTGAATTTTCAAGATCACATCTAGCAACTCCATTCGTTAAACTGTATTTTAAATTATTTTGTAAAATTATGTGTAAACAACATATTCTCACTGTAAATGCTGAAGTCCTACCTGACTTCCTTTCCCTCAGTTCCAGTCCCCTCTTCAAAAGTAATCACTCATCAGTTTGAAACATTTTCCCCCAAAAGTTTATTTGAACATTTTTCTATGCATTTACAAGCGAGTATATGTACACCGGGCTAGATTCACTAAAGTATAGAAAAAGCATTCTATGCTTTTATTAGTGAATCTAGGCTCAGAGTCACTTGTTTATATGAACAGATTTCTTTACAGATGTTAAATACTCAGGACATCTGTATTTGTATTACATTCGTTCATGCCTGTAATACCAGCACTTTGGTAGGCTGAGGTGGAAGAATTATTTGAGTCCAGGAGTTAGAGACCAGTCTGGGCAACATATCAAGAACCCATCTCTATGAAAAATTTTAAAAAGCCAGCGATGTTGGTGCATGCCGTGTAGTTCTAGTTACTCTGGAGGCTGAGGTGGGAGGTAACTTGAGCCCAGGAGGCCAAGGCTTCAGTGAGCCATGATCATGCCACTGCTCCAGCCTGGGTGGTAAAGCAAGATCTTGTCTCATAGGAAAACAAAAACAAAAAACCAAACCAAAACAGAAGAATACACACACACACACACACACACACGGTAATATCCCTGGTTTCCTCTATTTTCCTACTTAAATATATCATAATATGATTTTTATGTGGCTTTTTTCCTGCTTAACAAAATATCTTTGAAGGCTTACTCTCATATCACTTTAGTGTATTCTATTTAATTCTTGCATCTTGTATCATAATTTACTTATTCATTTTTAATTGACATTCAAGTTGTTTTCAATTTTTAGGAAGTTACAAGTAATACAAAATAAACATTCTAGCACTTGAATATTTGAGTGTTTCTATCTTATTTGAGTATTTTTCTAGGACAGATACCTGGAAGCAGGTCCAGTTGTGAAGCCAAAAGGCATACAGCATTTTTATTTTAATACATATTTCAAAATCACTCTCCCAGAAGCCTCCATCAGTTTTCACTCACACAAACAATGTATGTATATATGTTAATATCTTTGCTAAATCTATATTTTTAACTTTTGCTGAGCTGGAGTGCAAAGATTGTATCTTAAGTTTGGTTTAATTTATTTTTCTGTGTTTACTAGCATAGTTGAGCTTCTCTTCATATGCTTCTTCGTCAATCAGTTTTCCTCTTCCATGAATTTCCTGTTCATAACATTTGCCATGTTTCTGTTGACTTAAGAGAAAGTATCCAGTGTGCTCTTCTCTCTCCTTTCCTACCTCATGCCGGAAGGCAAGGAGTCCTTTATACTTAAGTCAACTAAGGGGGGTTGGGGAGGTACAGCTTCAAGATCACTTAGTGATTTGGGGAAACAGATAACTGTCTCATGCATGAAAATGGAAAGAAGAGTGGATAGTTGGAGCAGGTGAATGTGGAGAGGGCCTCAGAGAGATTCGGCTGCTCTCAAATAATAGCTGGATGTACATTTCTCATGGGCCCGGTGTGGACTCTATGAGAAGGAATTAGACATGAGTCTCCATGAAGAGACTCTTAATGGGAGTGTTTCCTGCCAGGGGATGCCACCTTAGCATTACAAAAAGCAGAGCATGAGGGTAGTGACAGTGGCACCTGAGGCTCTTACGTGTTTTAAACACTATATTCTAAGCTCTATTTTAAATACCTTATACCTGTTGACTCATTTAATCTTCACAACAGCTCTATCCAGTAAGTCATCTAATATTTGTTTCTAAATGAGGAAACTGAGGCAACGAAATCTGTACAGTATCACAACTAGATACTAGAGCTGGGATTCAGACTCAGATATTTGGCTGTAGAGTACATACCTTTGCCTATTACATAATTCCCAAGGAGATGCTCAATGAACATTTGCTACTTGACTGATTAGGGGAAGAGGACAAAATAAAAATAACAATGAAGGAAGAGAGGGGAGGATACTGGAAAGGAAAGGTAATGAAAGTACGAAGAGAAACAAGAGAATGATGGAGGACCATGCCCCACCATGAATGATACCTAGGGAAAACATGCAGTATCCCCAAGAAGGAAGAGACTATCTTGATGTAAGCTGAGTTTGAAGGGGGAAATAGAATATCTTACACAGTAGCCTTGGAACATATCTAAGAATTGCATAGTTTGGGAACACTATAACATATTGATTTTTCCCCCTAATCTTACCCAATTTAGAAACTTTATTGTGTTGAGAAGAAAAAGACACTAGACATAGGAACACAGTAACAATGACAAATAAAATGATTTGGCAAGTTTTGTTTAGCAAAGAACTAATTATATGAAGATCCTCACTAAATGTTGTTCTGGCTGTCTTGAAAAGAAAAGGGGGTTGTGTTCTAAGTACAAGTTAAACAATGACAACAAAAAACCACAAAAAAGAAAACATTATTTGGCACTCCATAAAGGAGAACTAGACTGCATAAAAGAAGAAAAGTTTGGAGAAAAGTACTAGAACCAGGCGCTCTGCACTACCAACGGAACAAGCTTTAAAACAAAACAAAGCAATTAAATGCTAAACGTCATGATCTTGGCTTTTACAAAGACATGCAGAGATAATTTGCTATACATACTTGGTGTAGAAAGATTATCAAAAGTCATGATATATTCATACATATATAGAGAGAGTAGGGGGAGACATTTAAATATATCTGACTGATAAAATGTCAGGAGTCACTCTTTCATTTTTGTTTAGATTCCCTGATCAACTTTGGCCAATAGAATTTCTAACCTTTACCTCAAGTTAGGAAGATAGGAAGAAGGAAAATGTGAAGTATGATTTTTCTTTCCCCCCAAAAAAAGACAAACATGAGATCAACTCTTGTAGACTATAAGTTCTCAAATTTTTCCATCTCAGTAGCCCTTTAATTTCAAAAAAATGTTGGGAACCCCAAAGAATTTTTGGTTATGTGAGTGATATCCAGCATGATTTACAATAGCAATTAAAATGAAAATTAATTAAATTAAAATGTCTATTTTTAAAAAGCAATAAGTGCATGACATTGCTTATTAAAATATTAAAGATACATAATTGAAAATATTAAATGTATTTAACATTGTAAGGTATCTTAAAATGTGCTAAAATATACGTAAAATAAAAATATATTTTCTAAAATAAAAAATTGGTGAGTAGAGTGCTTTTCTTTCAGCTTTGCATATTTCATTAATTTCTGGCTTAACAAAAAACAGCTAGACTTTCATATCTGCCTCTGCATTGCCTAGTATAAAATTACATACCATGTAGCCTCTGAAAAATTCCATTGTCCTCTCATAAGAAGAGATGCCTTAATACACACACACACACACACACACACACACACACACACACACACACATTTTCTTAGATGCAGTCTGTTGCTCAGACTGGAGTGCAGTGCCATGATCTCAACTTACTGCAATCTCTGCCTCCTGGGTTCAAGCAATCTTTCTGCCTCAGCCTCCTGAGTACCTGAGACTACAGGCTCACACCACCACACCCAGCTAATTTTCTATATATTTTTATTAGAGACAGGGTTTCACCATGTTAGCCAGGTTGGTCTCTTAACTCCTGACCTCAGGTGATCCACCTGCCTCGGCCTCCCAAAGTGCTGGGATTATAGGCATGAGCCATGCTGCCTGGCTGAGATGCCTTCATATGATTAAATGACTTTGACATCATAGGACCCCCTAACAGGATATCCAGATCCTCCAGGGATGCCTAGGCTAGACTAGACTTTCAAAACTGCTATCCTAGAGCATCTGAAGACACAAAACTGCTATCTTAGAGCATGTAAAGACACGAAAAGGTCAGTTTAAAGAGCCAAGTAATAGGCATGCTTCCCTGTACTTTAAAATTGAAGTTTAAATGAAATATACACTTCTAATCTCATCAAGCATTAATCTCATTAATTGAAAAGAGCTTTCAATTATAGTAAATAAGCAAATTTAGACATGTTTACCTCTGCCTTCATCTACCTGGCTTTTGACTCATTTTTCTACTTTAATAGAAATTTTATATGCATTTTTCATTTAATTTGCCACAAATCTTCTACCCAAGATGATGC